TGTGCTGTATGGGTATTGAGCGTTTTGTGAAAAGCGTTACCTTAGCATTGCAGAATGTTTAGAAAACATTATATATAGCGTTTGATAAGCGTTCCAAAAGAGTTCAAACCTTTTGACGTTATATAAGCATTCTTATAAAGTTTGAAAGCATATAAACTTTCAGAAAATTCTCAATAAACGGTTATCAACGCTCTGTAAAGCTTCTTATTTTCGTCAGGGTCGTAGTTCGAAGCTGTCACGACGACTCTCCTTAAGGAGAATTATTATTGTAGTTCTAGTTAAAATAAAATCCTTTTAAAAGAAGACGCGTTCTTTCTTTGCCGCGAACGCGTGTGCAAGTCTCGGAGACTGGTGGTAGTGCTGGCTCGCTTCCGCGAATGTAACATTTTGGGAGCTCGTCCGGGATAGCGAACGGACGGCGAAGAGAAACGAAAGAAAATCTTTGAAGCAAATCTTCGGGATGGAAACGAAAAAAGAGAACGTTCGACGTTCGAAGGAGCATCTCCGGCGGAATATTCCAGGCAAGTCGTTTCTTAATTTTTTTCTGCCTCAGGCGCGTGAACCGACTGGCGTTGTTGATGGGTCGGTCGCTTCCGTTGATTCCTCCGCGGGGGCATTCGTCGCGCGGGGAATGAGTGAGTTTTCCGAAGCAAGTTCGGCTCTGTAGAGTTGAACCAGAGGCGGAGAGAATTTCTGAAAGCTAGAGAGGAGTTCACGTTTTATCGACTGCTTCTTCTATGGACCTCGCGGCTGGGCGAATTATTTATTATTTCTTCTGAAGTTAGTCATAGTTCGGTTTGATTCTGATTAATTGGACTAATTTCTGGTGCTACTCTGCCTTGTGCAAGGTTTTCTCATTTGTCTTGGTTCTCATTTATTCTAATCATTATAAATACGATGTAAATACACAACCAGAGAATTATTTCTTCTTATTATTACTCATGTTTAAACCATGGCGAAAATTAGAAGATCTTAGAAACAAATGTGATAATTATACAGAATCATTTCACAAAAGAAAATTACATCTTCTAGGAGCATTACAATATCACGAAAAAATAGAGGAATTGCAAAAAACATTTGAAACTGCAAAACAGTTGGTTTAGGAATATCTAGATGACAAATTAAACAAACAGAATATATCGCAAAATGATCAAATATGACGAGAAAACAGTAATAAAATAACTGAGATAAATTCGAAAAATGTTATAAATAGCAATATATATTTTAATCGATAAAAGGAGTGACCATAGAGTGACAGTATCATTTTCAGTGACAACACAGCAACGTAACGCATTTTCGATAATGACATGTTGTAAATTGTTATATACATCTGTATTTAACATAGTTTTATACATCTGTATTTTATTAAACTCGTACTTTTAGTTAATACATAACAGGCAATTCAGCAGATAATAGGCAGTAACTGCCTATTATCTGCCGAATTGTCTATTGTCTTGTCCAGGTTTGTTTATATGGCGGAATGTCTTGGTTCGCTTCATTCGTTTTGCTGCACTAGGATCATTCATATTATTAAATTGTCCATAACCACCTCCACCAAGTCTTTTCCGAGATCGTGAAGCTTTACTGATTCCTACTTCTACAACACATAAAGAATTAAATAATAAATTACTATAATAAAATACTATATAAGTGTAAGTTAAACACACGCTACGCAAAGGACTTGAAAAATAGATAAATCATACAAAAATCATATTACATCATATTTTAACGTTCTAATACGTTAAGTCTATTGGTAAAATAAACTTACTCAAATCTACTGCTGGTGGTACGGTAAATCCGAATGATTTTGCGACCTTTGCCAGATCAAGAGTCTCTATATCAAAAACCTGTTTCAAATGATGAGAGTCATACGCCCTGACGTAATTTTTGAATGCTTCCTTTGCTGACTGATGTAAGAAATAATTTTTCGAAATCAGTTTCTCAAGCTAAAATAAAACAATATCTTATATAATATAACGATACTGAAATAAAGAGAGTGTAAAAGAGAGTGGATTAAATTCATTTTCTTAAATCTCTACTAAAAGATTACTCTGATGGTGTAATGATATTTCTCTATACATACCTGCAATTGTATGTCGGCAATTTTATTCCACGAAAACTGATATTCATTTACAGGGACACGAGCTTCTTTAAGATAACGAAGAAAACCAATTTCTTCTGGTCGCAATATAAGCAATGCATTACCGCTACTGCCTTCTCCGCGAGCGGTTCGACCTACACGATGAATATATTCCTAAAAAATTATATATATATTATATGTAAAACAAGATTTTTTTAAACAAGAACAAAAATAACTTTTATATAAATATTTGCTTATATTAAGCTATCTCTACAATTTTCTAACAATAGAATTTGTTAAATATTACAATTTGTCAATTATTACCTTAGGATCATCCGGTGGATCGTACTGTACGATCCAATCAACATCAGGTATATCAAGACCTCTTGCAGCTACATCGGTGCAAAGCAGAATTCCAGAAGAAGCATTACAAAACTGATAAAAAGTCGTGGTTCTTTTAGTCTGCTTTTGTTTACCCTATCAACAAGAACATAAACAATAAATTGAGAGTTCAGGAAAGTAACTCAATGTAAAAGTGCATGAAAGCTTCTGTGTGGCTTCTTGTTTTCAATAACTATAATTCAACATAGTTGCGATGAGACCAAATGTTTTAATTACGTTTAAGAACGTAAAAATATACTTACATGTATACTCATCACTGGTAAATCAATGTAATTCAAAAGTTCGTGATGATATTTAACAGACATGCAAGAACTGAAGAAAACCATCATCTTCTTTTTCCTGTTCTTCTTCAGAAACGTAAACAAAAGCAAGAATCTCTTCTCGCTCGGACACATAACATAGCCTTGCTGCAAACCCTCCACAGTCGCCATTTCTTTATCATCGTCAACTCCCACGTATATGGGTTCTTTTTTCAGAGCAAATTTCGTTATTGCTGCTACTTTCTGTGTTTGCGTTGCACTGAACAGCATGGTCTGCCGACGCTCTACAACAGAAATCATTTAGCAATAAATCAAAAACTTCTAAAATTTATTTTAATGCGTACGGTATGTCACTAACTAGGAAGAATGTTAATAATTTGCTTCAACTCTTCTTCATATCCAATATCCAGTATACGATCAGCTTCGTCAATTATCAGACATTGTAGATTTTTGTATAAAAAATCTGGAGTGTTTTGTAAGTGATCTAACAATCGTCCTGGTGTAGCCACAATGAAATTGATGCCTTTTCCAAGTTTTTGCGCTTCAGCTTGTCTGTTAGTACCACCAATCAGTAGACCATATGTGTGATAATGATACTTCATTAATTCTTTCAAGACTCCGAAAGTTTGCATGGCTAATTCTCTTGTTGGACACATAATGATGCATCCGGTACCTGTCAAATGTCTATAATTAGATACTTTTGCATAGATAAAAATCTGAGGATAAGTTTTGTAGAATAATTCATATACACTCATTATTTGTTTCGAATTACATACCATTGCGTGGCATAAATTTCAATTTGTAGATCAGTTCAATAGCAGGAATTAAAAATGCCAGAGTTTTGCCCGACCCTGTTTTAGCAGCACCAACTAGATCTCTTCCTTCCAAAAGAGGTGGGATAGCTTTTGCTTGTATCTCTGTCATATTTGTGAAACCTATATCTTGTATTGCTTTCAGAGTATTTTCACATACTTTTCCTTCCAAAGTAGAGAAACTAGTATCATTTATTACTTCGAGACCCTTATCTGTACCAGGTACTAAATAAAAAAAATATATTGACACATTATTATTGATATTAAACAGTAGTCAAATCAACTAATATACTTGCTTTAGAGAAATACATACAATCCTTAGTGATCTTGTCAGTATCAGTAGTAACTTCTTGATTAACATCTTCAGTGACATCTTTGACAGCATTTTTCTTTTTTTTCTCTGTTTTTAATAAAACAAATTATAAAAAATTGTACGATAAAAGAAAAGAAAATTAAGATAAGTTATACAAACCATTTGAGGAACTGTCTTTTATATGTTGTTGGGGATCTGTCTTCTCTAATTTACTTTCTGAAATTGCAAGAGAACAAAGTCAATTATTTTAATGTGTCAAAATAAAGTAACATTTGATTAAAAATTAAAAATGTGTGCACTTTGAAGATAATTATAAATATACATGTCCATATAGATTTTCTTACAAGAAAATCTAAAGTTTGAAAACTACATGTTACTTCACATGCACATATACACACCTGTATCTTTTTGTTCTTCTCGTTGTTTTAAAATTTTCAATTTTGTTCTTTCCCGCTTCTTCATCTTTCGCATTAATATTTTTTCGGGAACAGACATTGTAACTTCGAAATACCTCCTAACCAACAATTAATCCACGCTGTACTTATCGTAAACGCTGTTCACGCACGCTTGTGCACGAGGTCGTCCAACTTTACAAAATGGTTTCGGTTTGGTTTGGTGCGCTTGTGGCTCTTGGACCTATAAAGAGCCGTCTACAATGGAGAGTTGTAGGCCGTAATAGTAAGAAATTGACCAATCGCAGGCATAGTACAGAAGAATAATTGATTGTGATTTGTCAGTTTCTTACTGTTACAGTCTAAAACTCTCCATTGTAGACGACCCTTAACGGTTAGTCCATACGCCATTCTATGGCTGCTTTCCTTTTAGGAGACACAGTCGACACATCCGACATGGAGTGATCACTTCCCGGTGGTCACAGTCGTAAGAGATTTTTGTGTGGGTCGCACCGCGTGCCGCCCTTACTACTCGGTGGGGAGGGTCGACTGGAGGAAGTTTAAGTCTAGTTGTGCTCAACAGGCGGAGCTCCTCCCCCGCCCCTCCCAGGCGGGTAACTTGGACGTTAGCGCAGCATACGCTGGTTTGGTTNGCGTGATCGATGAGGCATTGCTCCGGGCCGGGGCTGTCAGAATAGATAAACTGGGCGCCTCCAGGAAACCTCCTTCCCCTTGGTGGGACGCCACGTGTTCGGCAGAGTTCTCTAGAAAGAGGGAAGCTTTCTCAGTTTTCCGGGCCCACCCTTGCGTGAGTAACCAAGAAAACTATATCAGGGTCTCTAAAGAGGTCGCAAGGTTTCTTAGGAAGAAGAAAAGGGAAGCCTATCGTAAATTTTGTGAATCTTTACACGCCAATTCTGATTTAGGCTCGGTGTGGCAAACAGTTAGGGCTTTCTCTGGCGCACGTAGCAGTTCTAGGTGGTCTGGTGGTAGGAACTGTCTTGATAAGGAGGGGTTCCGTCAGGCCTTTGACAAAGTTGCCCCGTTGAACCCTACACCCCCTCTCGGCGGTGGGGATGACGGCGATCACGTTCCTCGGGAGCCACTGTCTAGTAACTTGTTTATGGAAGCTCCCGTCTCGTGGGAGGAGTATCGTACAGTGGTCAGGGCCTTAAAGCATCGTTCAGCCCCTGGACCGGACCTTATATCCAACCTG